CAAATATGGACTAACCCAACTGTTGGGTTAAATTTTGGTTACATTTTTAAATTAACTTTTTAACCCAATGGTTGGGTTAGTCCATATTTGACCCAAAGTTGGGTTGAAACAACCCAGCATTTTTTAGAGTGCAGCTATTAGATTGATTATGACAGTATTTGCCTTTTAGAACCAGTTTTTAGTTGTGATGCAGAGTGGATCAGGCATAAGGTTACCATAATGGCTTTTACATTTCTTACACAAAATAGAGTGTATCACTTGGAAGTTGTAGTAAATGGCATCATGCATTTGTGACAGATATTTATGGATTCCCATGCAAAATGTATCTCACATGCATCTCACTTGATTGCAGTGTAGGGCAATTCTATGATGAGGCGTTTTTCTACGGCATAATCATTTATTGATGCAGTTACACTTTGACATTTGCTTTAATGTTTGAGCATCTTGGACGTGGCAAAGTTAAAAAATAATCTTAATCTACCCTATAAAATGTCACACATTAGCAGCTAAGACCGTTATTGCTGTTTGTTATGGAAGCCTGTTTACATCTCAGAGTGAAAAAATAAAGTTAATTGTCAGTTAAATTAAAAAAAAGAAATTAAGTCACTTTGTTAGACTTACTGTCACACTGCACAATATTTACATTTATGAGAAATTAAGTCACAATTATGAAAAAAATGCATTGCTATTGTGATATACTTCACGATTACCTTTTTTCTTCCAAGGTGGAATTTGGCTTCCATACATGCTTGAATCACTTTTATTTAAAATTATTTAAATGTTTGATATGTCTTTGATATGCGTCATTGACATAAACTGCTGCTTTTCAAAAGTTTGGGGTCAGTTTTTATTTTTATTTTTGAAAGAAATTAATTCGTTTACTCAGCAAATTTAATTTATTGAATGAATAATTAATCTGTTCATGCAATTAATTAAAAGTGACAGTAAAGAATTTTTAAGGACTCCTTTCTATTACAAATGAATACTATCCTTTTGAACTTTCTATCAAAGAATCCTGAATAAATCACGGTTTCTGCACCATTCTGCACCACGGTTTTCACCATTGATAATAATAGGAAATGTTACCTGAGAACTACATCAACATATCAGAATGATTTCTGAAAAATCATGAGACACTGGAGACTGGAGTAATGGCTGCTGAAAATTCATCTTTTCGTCACATGATTAAAGTTTAAAATATATTAAAGTAGAAAATTGTTATTTTAAATTTTAATAATATTTCACAAAATTGCTGTTTTTGCTGTATTTTACATTAAATAAATGCAGCCTTGATGAGCAAAAACATTTTAAAATTTTTACCAACCCCAAACTTTTGATTCATTGATGTCACATGCATATGCTTTGTCACTTTTTTATAGTCATGTAGAGTTTATGGTTTTGTTCCTCAAAATGATTTTTCATGCTAGGTCACATGTGTTGGACATATAGTGGGGGCCATTGTGGCAGACACACAGGCCCATGCTCAGAGAGCAGCCAAAGATGTGAAGATCAGCTATGAGGAACTGCAGCCTGTGATTGTCACCATTCAGGTCTGTATTTACTCCACATGTTCACACATACACACACACTACAGAAAACAGAATCATCTAGCTATGGTCCATGGTTTTGTCATGTGTGGTGTACAAACCAACCCAAATGCAGCACAGCCAGCAAGTTTTCAAAATGGTCTATATTTACAAAAAATTTGAAAGTAACACAAAACTGGGTACATCTGACCAGACTTCAGCCCACAGAGCTGAAAAACAAAAGACCTAAACAGTAGACAGGAGAGCACATGGCACACGGAAACAAACATGACAAATTGACACCAAAAAACCAACCCTGAAATGTGATCCTCATAGGACTGAAAATATGACCTACAACTAAGTTTTGGTTTCAAAACCACTGATCTACAATATCATTGCAAAACATGGTGCTGTGCTCTGACCTTTCACCATTGCTTAGTGCTTTTCCTGCTGTCATCATTACATAACAGGATTTTTCAAGGTTTTCAGAGAAACAGCTTGTACAAAAATACACATAACACATAAAGATAAGCTTGACTGGTTTGCTAACATGTTTGCGTTCACTCTTTCACACAGGATGCTATTGCCAACAAGTCCTTCTATCAGCCGGTGAGAAGTATAGAGAGAGGAGATGTTGCACAAGGATTCAAAGACTCTGATCACATCCTGCATGGTATAAGTTATCTAATAAACTGTCCTAATGCAAATAATGTGATGTGTTTGCCTCAGGCCCTAGTGGCTAAAGCTCTGGGGGTGCCTGCTAACCGGGTGGTATGTCGTGTGAAGAGGATGGGAGGAGGATTTGGAGGGAAAGAAAGTCGGAGCACCATTCTGTCCACAGTGGTCGCTGTTGCTGCACATACGTATGAATATTTATAACACAAACTAATGAACAATGTGCCTAATTACATAAAGTCATGTCATATGTAGCAATGTGAAGGGTAAACATTTAGTTTGACCTTTTTCTTTTAGGGTCAAGCAGCCAGTTCGCTGTATGTTAGATCGCGATGAGGACATGCTGGTCACAGGTGGTCGGCATCCATTCTTTGGACATTACAAGGTGAAAAATTGTACAAATTAGCCAGATATTGTCCTTTAGGTGGACCATACGTCCTATTTGTACTGGCCGGGATTTCTAAATTGCCTAAAATGTCTGTGTCTTTCCTGTTGACATGCTCTCTACAGTCCTCGTGCATTGTATGTATGCATATTTGCATTGCTTTGACCGTTCTCTGTTGATTCCCACCTTCTTTCACACCATGATTGGTAGATTTTGTACAATGCCTGCACACTATTTGTCAAACTACTTTTTGGTCATTACCTTCAGCAAGTATAAGTCAAGTCACCTTTATTTATATAGCGCTTTTAACAATACAGATTGTGCCAAAGCAGCTTTACAGTATCAAACAGGAAAATAGTGTGTCAGTGCAAAAGGACAATAGTAAATACTCAATTTTCAGTTAAATGCAGTTCATTAATGAATTCAGTGATGCCATCGTCCAGCTCAGTTTAGTTTAAATAGTATCTGTACAATCAAGCCAACAATATCGCTGGAAATTAAGTGTCCCCAACTAAGCAAGCCAGAGGTGACAGCAGCAAGGAACCAAAACTCCATCGGTGACAGACTGGAGAAAAAAATCCTTGGGAGAAACCAGGCTCAGTCGGGGGACCAGTTCTCCTCTGGCCAGACGAACCAGCAGGTTGATTCATACTGCAGCAAAGTTAGATTGTGCAGAGGGCTCATCTGATTCCATTGTCAAAAAACAATAGGAAAACAAAGCCAAAACCTAGAGATTTTAGGCAATTTAGAAACCCCTGCAAGGACATGTTAAAGAAAGATCGGACATTTCGTCACCCTATTGTCCTTGTCCTTGCTAAGTCTTATACACTATCAAGGCGTGTTCACACTTGGCGTCTTTTTTTAATTTGCCAGCGTCTGTTTGACATTATAATCCTGTGGAGTAAACCGTGTTTTCAAAAAAGTCCTGAGCGCTTTTTTAAACACCCCCATCGGCATCTTTTTCTGCAGCTCAGAGTGTCTTTTCAAGTTGAAAAAAGATTAAACTCTGTAATCTGATGTCTAGGTTGGGTACATGAACAATGGAAGAGTGATGGCACTTGATGTGATGCTCTACAGCAACGCAGGCAATTCACTGGACCTGTCATTGTCAGTGAGTAGGCATCTAAAAGTTTTGAACATCTATTGCCGGTGGTCCATGAGACACCCCTGGTGGTCAAAGACACACATTACAAGATATTCTTACATCCCAAGCCTAAATGTGTATCCTGTCTCTCAATGCACAGATCCTGGAGAGGGCACTATTCCACATGGATAACTCCTACAATATTCCTAACATTCATGGCACAGGCTACATGTGTAAAACCAACCTGCCGTCTAACTCAGCGTTCAGAGGCTTTGGTGGGCCGCAGGGCATGATGATCGCAGAGAGCTGGATGAGTGATGTGGCTTTGAGCTGTGGTCTGCCTGCTGAAGAGGTTCATACTGCATATTTATTTTTCTCATAGTCCATACAGTTGTACATGATTATTCAAGTCTCCTACTACTTCCAGGTGAGGAGGATGAACATGTACAAGGAGGGGGATTTCACACCCTTCAATCAACGTCTGGACCAGTTCACCATTGATCGCTGCTGGGAGGAGTGCATGCAGCTCTCAGACTTCAACAAGTGCAAGGAGGCACTGGAACAATATAATAGGTCAGAAAAATTCTTAGATATTAAGCTCATCAACACAATTGAAAGCTTGTGCAGTTTAAATGCACAAGTGCATATAATAATAAAACATATTTTCCTTGATATTTTGAGTGTATTGATATAATGCTTTCAGTGCAAAAAAAATGATAAGATACATTATAAGATGAAAAAAAAGATTTAAAAAATGTAAATAAAAAAACTATATTAAATCATATAAATATAAAATTTACAAATGTATAAATAACAAAAGGAAAATAGATTATTTTTCTCTACTTCAGTTGCTCCCATTACTAAAACTGAAATTAAAACAAATATTAATAATAATAATAATAATAATGGCAAAAGCACATAAAATTATAAACATTTAATCTAAAATTAAAATGAATATAAAAATATAAGCTAAAGTATAAAAATAAAAGCTAATGCAAAATATTAACAAATATTACAATATTATATAAATATATAAAGTAACACTGGGGCAGCTTAAATCCTATAAGTAGATAAGATTAGTAGATAATTTCATGAACCAACACTTTATGGTTAGATTTTATTTGTATATTACTGTAGAAATATTTTCAGTTTAGGCACTGCAAAGCTTGGTAAGAATTGCTGTAACATTTCAATTCCAGGCAGCACCGTTGGACCAAGAGAGGGTTGTCCATCATTCCCACCAAGTTTGGCATCAGCTTCACTGCTGTCTTCCTTAACCAGGTCAGCCTTCTTCCTCTCAGAATCTAAAGAACTATTAGAAAGAGGTGATTCGGTATTGTCACAACTGGGACAAAGAGGCAGACAGGCAGGGTAACGTAAGTCAGAGAGTTTAATAACAGGAACTTAGGAGAGGCTTCCAACGGAAAAGAGTTCAACATAGGCAGTAAGGGAAGCAAAACACAGTCTTATCTGGGTCGGCACTCCGGTCCTTCGGCCGAGAACTGAGGATTCCGAGGGGGACAGGCAGGTCGGAAGGCGAGGATCCAGGACAGAGAAGCTTGCAACCTTGAGACCAGCCGACGAGTGACTGAGGTGAGTGTGTATTTGAGTGGTGTGGTAAGTGGGTGCAGGTGTCCGTGATTAGTAATCAGGTGATTGTGAGCGGGTGTAGGAAGCTGATTCGGCTGGTGAGGCAGGTGTTTCCGTGACAGGGATATGTGTGTGATGGATATTTTTCATTCAGGCAGGAGCATTGGTACATGTGTACTCTGATGGTTCGGTTTTACTAACTCATGGTGGAACAGAGATGAGGCAAGGCCTGCACACTAAAATGGTCCAGGTAATGCAAACAAAACACAACAAAAATACTATATTAAAATGTTGGTTACCACTGTTCATATTAATTTTGTCTTTACATTTTTGTGTTGTGCAGGTGGCCAGTAAAACTCTTGGAATCCCCTGCTCAAAGATTCACATCACAGAGACCAGCACTAACACAGTTCCCAACACCAGCCCTACAGCTGCCTCCGCCTCCTCCGACCTTAACGGCATGGCCATCTACGTAAGCCTCATGCAGCAGATATTCATGTTTATGATGCTTTTTTAATGTACACTACCGCTCAAAGTATTTGTTTTTTTTGAATCTACGTTTAATTGATCAAAAGTGACAGTAAGGACTTTTACACTGTTACAAAAAAAAATTCTATTTCAAATAAATGCTGTTATTTTGAACTATTCATCAAAATAATCTTCATCAAAATAATCAAAATAATAATTTTCTATTCATCAAATAATCCTGAAAAAATGTGTTTCCACAAAAATATTAAGGTGCATATCTGTTGCCAACATTTATAATAATTTAATAACTATTTAATATATCGACAAATCAGCAATATTAGAATGATTTCTGAAGGATCATGTAATGGCAGAAATAAATTACATTTTAAAATAGAAAACAGTTATTTTAAATGATATTTCACAATATTACTGCATTTTTTAATAAAATAAATGCAGCCTTGGTGAGCAAAATAGACTTTCTTTGAAAAAATTAAAACATTTTTACCCCAGACTTCTGAACAGTAGATTGTCAGCCATCAAACTAATCCACAATATTTCAAATCAACATTAGTTGAAAATTTCACACAACCCTTTAATTTTCCACAGAATGCTTGTCAGACATTACTACAGAGACTTCAGCCTTACAAAGACAAAAACCTCAAAGGCTGCTGGGAGGATTGGGTCAGTATGTTTGTAAGTTTTTGCATGTAATTATTTGATATATTTATGTATTTTATATGAGACATTATGTAATCACATTTGCAGGTGAAAGCAGCCTATTTTCACCGAGTCAATCTGTCTGCCAATGGATTTTACAAGTATGTTTATTTCAGCGTGTTTTCTGAGCTACAGTGGAGAAAATATTTATTTGATCCCCTGCTGATTTTGCAAGTTTGCCCACTTACAAAGAAATGAAGGGTCTGTCATTTTTATGGTAAGTTTATTTTAACAAATAGAGACAGAATATCAACCAACAAAATCCAGAAAAAAAACACATTATATAAAGGTTAGAGATTGATTTGCAAATGAAATAAGTGAAATAAGTATTTGATCCCCTACCAACCAGCAAGAATTCTGGCTCCCACAGATTGGTTATGTGCCCATGTGGAACACAGATTAGTTCTGTCACTTTAAGAAGTTTTCGCCTGTCAGCTCTTTAGGTGTATAAGACACCTGTCCACACAATCTGTATCTTCCATTCCAACCTCTCCCACCACCATGGGCAAGACCAAAGAGCTGTCAAAGGATGTCAGAGACAGATCCAAGCAAACCATTGGTTGCACACTACGCCGCATTGGACTGAAATCCTGCAGCGCCTGCAAGGTCCCCCTGCTCAAGAAGGCACATGTACAGGCCCATTTAAAGTTTGCCAATGAACATCTAAATGATTCAGAGAAGGCTTGGGAGAAAGTGCTGTGGTCAGATGAGACCAAAATTGAGCTCTTTGACATTAACTCGACTCGCCATGTTTGGAGGGAGAGAAATGCTGACTATGACCCCAAGAACACCATCCCTACAGTCAAGCACTAAGGTCATGGAGTGGCCTAGCCAGTCTCCAGACCTCAATCCTATAGAAAATCTGTGGAGGGAGCTGAAACTTTGAGTTGCCAAACGACCTTAACCGAAAGAAACCTTAAGGATTTAGAGAGGATCTGTAAAGAGGAGTGGACCAAAATCCCTCCTGAGATGTGTGCAAACCTGGTGACCAACTACAAAAAACGTCTTACCTCTGTGCTTACCAACAAGGGTTTCTGCACCAAGTACTAAGTCATGTTTTGCTTGGGGATCAAATACTTATTTCACTCACTGAAATGCAAATCAATTTCTAACCTTCATATACTGCGTTTTTTCTGGATTTTTTGGTCGGTATTCTGTTTCTATACGTTAAAATAAACCTACCATAAAAAATTACAGACCCTTCATTTCTTTGTAAGTGGGCAAACTTACAAAATCAGCAGGGGATCAAATAAATATTTCCCCCACTGTATAAACAAATCAAATTTAAATACATTTCATAATTTTCACATTTCAAATCTTGTTGGTCCTCATAGAATTAAGAGGTATTATTCATCTGATTGTATAGGACTCCAGATCTTGGCTATGATTTTGACACAAATTCAGGAAGGCCATTTAACTACTTCAGTTATGGCGTGGCCGTCTCAGAGGTGGAGATAGATTGTCTAACTGGCAGTCATAAGGTGAAACATTTATTTGTTATATTCAGATGCCAGTTTTACTGACAACAGAACAACTTTTCTGCATAATAGATTATATATTCGAGATCCGTACTTCAAAGTTAACTCCTCTTTTTTTTTTTTATCTCTCCTGTCAGAATCTTCATACGTCCATAGTTATGGATGTGGGCAAGAGTTTAAATCCAGCATTGGACATTGGACAGGTATTTCATCTGAATTGAATTAAACAGATCACACCATTGTCAATTCATGATAAATATCATATGATTTGTCGCTGTGTGTGCAGGTGGAGGGCGGGTTCATGCAAGGTTTAGGTCTGTTCACGCTGGAGGAGCTACGCTACTCTCCTGATGGTTACCTATACACTCGCGGACCTGGCATGTATAAGATTCCCTCTTTTGGGGATATTCCCATTGAATTAAAGGTCTCGCTGCTCAGAGACACTCCTAATGAGAAGGCCATCTTCTCCTCAAAGGTTAGATGCATCACAACAACTGACTCCACAGTAAGATCATGGTTTGTGTCTGTTAACTCTTATGGCTGTGTTTGTACTCAGGCTGTGGGCGAGCCTCCTCTCTTTCTGGCGGCCTCAGTGTTTTATGCCATTAAAGATGCCATCATTGCTGCCAGGGCTGAGTCCGGCCTGACAGGACCCTTCAGACTGGACAGCCCCGCCACACCTGAACGGATACGAAATGGCTGTGAAGACAAGTTTACTAAACTGGTATGTAGTAACTTTCACTGTTGACTGTCAACTTAATGTTCGGGTTCATATAATTCTCACAGAGCTGTGCAATGATATAATTAAACACTGGCATCAAATCTGAACCAGGGTCATCTCAGACTGAATATGAAGTAATCATACACATTCAAATCAAGTCAGACACTAACATTCAAATGTTTGGGCTCAGTAAGATTCTCTTTTTTTTTTAATTTACACTTTTATTCATCAAGGATGCATAAAATTGATCAGAAGTGACAGTAAAAACATTTATTACAATAGAAAAGATTGTATTTCAAATAAATACGTTTTTTTTAACTTTCTATTCATCAAAGAATCCTGAAAAAAATTTTAATATTAAGCAGCACAACTGTTTTCAACTGATAATAATAAGAAATGTTTCTTAATCAGCAATGATTTCTAAAAGATCATGTGACACTGAAGATTGGAGTAATGGCTGCTGAAAATTCAGCTTTGCATTACAGGAATAAATTACATGTTAAAATATAATAACAGAAAATAGTTACTTTAAGTTGTAAGAATATTTCACAATATTAATGTTTTTATGGTGTTTTGATCAAATGAATGCAGCCTTGGTGAGAATCAAAAGAATTCTGTTAAAAACTTTATAAAACCGACTCCAAACTTCAGAACGGTAGTGTACAACTAGGGATGTAATGATTCTCTCAACTCACGATGCGATACGATTCACAATAATGATTTCATGATACAATGTCATGATACAAAGACAAATTATAAATGAAAAGGTGTCCTTTTATTATTCCTGGACAAAATGCTGCACATTTCTGTGTGAAATTGAAATATGTCAAATAACAAAACTAAAGATAATTTTTTTTAAAGAAACCCCAAATCAAATAAATAAATAAATAACACAAATAAAACACTTTGCCTGTGCTCTTTCCATTTAAAATTAGAGGCAACCACTGTATTTGAATCCCGATCCAAACAAAGATGCTACACACATGCAGCATGAGCAGTTTTTAATCTAAATAAGATTGTATAATTTCGAAATTTGAAGCAAAAACACAATGGTCTGACTTTAGTTTTGTGAAACTGTACTACATAAAACATGTCTGAATGAAACAGAAACAGCAGACTAGCTGAATGAAAACACAAATTTACTCTCTGACAGCAGGTCTTCTGCAACAGCGGCAATACAGCATTTACTTGGTTACCTCTGTAAACAAAGCAGCGCAGTGCTTATGAACACTGCTTTAATATGCATTATACAGAAATGAAAAGAAAATATCATCTAAACTTTTCTAAAGTCAGTCAGTTCCCCTCAGAGATACATTCATATAAACTCCTACCTCCAATTGTATCGCAGTTCGTTTAACATCTCAACCGATTTGAATTGTCACATATTTGTATCGATTTTCAACTGGCGCGCAGTGCATTGTTACATCCCTATGTACAACTCAACTCAATATGCAGCTTCAAATCAAATGTGGCATTCATGGAGCTGCTTTGTTGTGGTTTTATTGTTTGAGATCATATCAGTTGCTTTTGACAGGGCCTACTGAAGTTTATTGACCATCATGTGTTTGCGTTTGTTTTAGTGTCCTCCTGCAGATCCAGGCACCTTTACCCCATGGGAAGTGCAGGTGTAAGACAAAGCAAAAGAAAAAAAAAAAAAAAAAGTTGTCAGCAAGGTTTAGGTCTGTTCACGCTGGAGGAGCTACGCTACTCTCCTGATGGTTACCTATACACTCGCGGACCTGGCATGTATAAGATTCCCTCTTTTGGGGATATTCCCATTGAATTAAAGGTCTCGCTGCTCAGAGACACTCCTAATGAGAAGGCCATCTTCTCCTCAAAGGTTAGATGCATCACAACAACTGACTCCACAGTAAGATCATGGTTTGTGTCTGTTAACTCTTATGGCTGTGTTTGTACTCAGGCTGTGGGCGAGCCTCCTCTCTTTCTGGCGGCCTCAGTGTTTTATGCCATTAAAGATGCCATCATTGCTGCCAGGGCTGAGTCCGGCCTGACAGGACCCTTCAGACTGGACAGCCCCGCCACACCTGAACGGATACGAAATGGCTGTGAAGACAAGTTTACTAAACTGGTATGTAGTAACTTTCACTGTTGACTGTCAACTTAATGTTCGGGTTCATATAATTCTCACAGAGCTGTGCAATGATATAATTAAACACTGGCATCAAATCTGAACCAGGGTCATCTCAGACTGAATATGAAGTAATCATACACATTCAAATCAAGTCAGACACTAACATTCAAATGTTTGGGCTCAGTAAGATTCTCTTTTTTTTTTAATTTACACTTTTATTCATCAAGGATGCATAAAATTGATCAGAAGTGACAGTAAAAACATTTATTACAATAGAAAAGATTGTATTTCAAATAAATACGTTTTTTTTAACTTTCTATTCATCAAAGAATCCTGAAAAAAATTTTAATATTAAGCAGCACAACTGTTTTCAACTGATAATAATAAGAAATGTTTCTTAATCAGCAATGATTTCTAAAAGATCATGTGACACTGAAGATTGGAGTAATGGCTGCTGAAAATTCAGCTTTGCATTACAGGAATAAATTACATGTTAAAATATAATAACAGAAAATAGTTACTTTAAGTTGTAAGAATATTTCACAATATTAATGTTTTTATGGTGTTTTGATCAAATGAATGCAGCCTTGGTGAGAATCAAAAGAATTCTGTTAAAAACTTTATAAAACCGACTCCAAACTTCAGAACGGTAGTGTACAACTAGGGATGTAATGATTCTCTCAACTCACGATGCGATACGATTCACAATAATGATTTCATGATACAATGTCATGATACAAAGACAAATTATAAATGAAAAGGTGTCCTTTTATTATTCCTGGACAAAATGCTGCACATTTCTGTGTGAAATTGAAATATGTCAAATAACAAAACTAAAGATAATTTTTTTTAAAGAAACCCCAAATCAAATAAATAAATAAATAACACAAATAAAACACTTTGCCTGTGCTCTTTCCATTTAAAATTAGAGGCAACCACTGTATTTGAATCCCGATCCAAACAAAGATGCTACACACATGCAGCATGAGCAGTTTTTAATCTAAATAAGATTGTATAATTTCGAAATTTGAAGCAAAAACACAATGGTCTGACTTTAGTTTTGTGAAACTGTACTACATAAAACATGTCTGAATGAAACAGAAACAGCAGACTAGCTGAATGAAAACACAAATTTACTCTCTGACAGCAGGTCTTCTGCAACAGCGGCAATACAGCATTTACTTGGTTACCTCTGTAAACAAAGCAGCGCAGTGCTTATGAACACTGCTTTAATATGCATTATACAGAAATGAAAAGAAAATATCATCTAAACTTTTCTAAAGTCAGTCAGTTCCCCTCAGAGATACATTCATATAAACTCCTACCTCCAATTGTATCGCAGTTCGTTTAACATCTCAACCGATTTGAATTGTCACATATTTGTATCGATTTTCAACTGGCGCGCAGTGCATTGTTACATCCCTATGTACAACTCAACTCAATATGCAGCTTCAAATCAAATGTGGCATTCATGGAGCTGCTTTGTTGTGGTTTTATTGTTTGAGATCATATCAGTTGCTTTTGACAGGGCCTACTGAAGTTTATTGACCATCATGTGTTTGCGTTTGTTTTAGTGTCCTCCTGCAGATCCAGGCACCTTTACCCCATGGGCAGTGCAGGTGTAAGACAAAGCAAAAGAAAAAAAAAAAAAAAAGTTGTCAGCTGGAATCAAAATGGACCTTATTTACTTTCTTAATGCACATTCCTGGTCTTGTGTATGATTCATATGTGCATGTTGTTCCAAAGAAAAAAACAATGTTTGTCATTGTAATCTTTAATCTAATTTCCACTGGTCAGTTGCATAATGTTAACTAATAGCTAAATAACTGGTTAGGCATTACACACTTGACCCACAAGTCACATAACTCCTGATGGATAAAATCAAGTCCTGCCCCACATTTTTTATTTATTTTTTTTTTTAAGCATCCTGTTTCACTCTAAAAATATGTTTATGAAAGTAAAACAGGCTGCAAATGGAAATTCACAATGACTTTGAGGGTCCTCAGATTTTAAAACGCACAACAGCGAACAAAGGCATTGAGTTAATTGCCAAAGAAACCGAAAGATTGAAGATTTTGTCCTGAGCAGATTATACTGTGAACACAAAATCATTTGTGCTTTTATGACCTCTCTGTGCTCTTAGTGAAACTTACATTTTATATAACAGGTAATGAAGTGTAGATGAATTGTCCACAAGCTATTTTTTATGTTATCCCATTGTAAAATGATTAATTTATTTTGTAACTGAAATCTAATAATAGAGTTAACAATATTGAGATTTGTCAGGTTATGTGATAGCTTTTATACATCACATTACTGGTACCATCTAATGTGAGTGTACAGTACAAATATATAGTGCCTCTTTAAATATTAATAATGAATACTAAGATACAGTTGTGCACATAAGTTGACATACCCCTTGCAGAATATGCAAAATGTTCATAATTTCAACAAAATAAGAGGGATCATGAAAATTGAATAAGCTACTTCACATAACAGATGTTTATATATAATCCACAAGACAAAATAATAACTGAATTTGTAAAAATTACCCCGTTCAAAAGTTTGCATACCCTTAAATCTTAATACTGTGTGTCGTTTCCTGCGTAAACATAAATACATACATGTTTCCCAGAAGACAAAATAAGGACAATTTACCCTGATCATCCAATTCAAAAAGTTTACACCCTCCAGCTCTTAATGTTGCCTTCTTGAGCATCAGTAAATGTTTTGACCGTTTGTAATTATGTATGAGTCCCTCAATTGTCCTCAGAGTGAAAAGATGGATCTCAAAATCATACAGTCACTGTTGGAAAGGGCTCAGATATGCAGAAGATGCTGGAAAACCAAAGAATGTGCAGGAGCTGGAGGATTTTTCAGAAGAACAACAGGCAGTTGAACTGTTCAGGACAAACAAGGGACTCATGAACAACTATCACAAAACATAAAAACAGTTGTGGATTATCCAGGAAATGACAGACAGTATTAATATTTAAGGGTATGTAAACTTTTGAACGGGGTAATTTTTATAAATTCAGCTATTATTTTGTCTTGTGGAGTATATATAAACATCCATTATGTGAAATAGCTTATTCAGGACAGTACTAAACAAAAAATAACATGCAATTTTCATGATCCCTCTTATTTTGTGAAAATGATTAACATTTTGCATATTCTTCAAGGGGTATGTAAACTTATGAGCACAACTTGTATATGACGTTTAGTTTACTTATAGTAATTGAATTAAATGATGGTTTATTACAGTATTAATAATACATTCTTTATGATTCAGGTTAGACTACAGAGCTTGCCATATTAATTTACTTTCAATACTCATTAAATGACTATATTGTGCATATTCAAACAGTATGTTGAATCTTGTTACAAACTATAATTAGATTAAATGTATTATTTCAGAACACCTCACAATATTAAAGGGGTCATATGATGCTGCTAAAAAGAACATTATTTTGTGTATTTGGTGTAATGAAATGTGGTTTAAGGTTAAGAGAAAGGAAAAATTTAAATCGCATCATATGACCCCTTTAAACGTATTTTCTAGCATTTACATACGACTGATACCTTATTAAGGTTTTAATAATGGTGTTTGATGAAAAGCTCTCTCCTCTGAAAGTGACCTTGTGTCCTGAGAGATTCTGGACATTTGTTTCATTGCATAGCTGTGGATGTATGGCAGAAGCGCCTGCCTTTGAAAGCCTCATTCAACGATTTCACTCTGTAAATGTAAAGATAAACACATTACATGAAAGAGGATGACTTAGTAAAATCACATGACAAAGCTTTAAATTGCTATAAAATTACGAGATCCACCTATCTTGTGTCTTCTCTTGTTGACAGGCATGACATTAACATGACAGACTGGAAACGCTTGTTTCTGTTAAAATTCTGGGCTTTCCAGTTTTTCATGAGGTTTGCTGGCCGTTGGGCAAATGTTTGCCCGTATTTACACATGCACAATGGCTGTATCATTGTTGTCTTCGTAATAAGCATTCACTTCAATCTGAATGCTGTGAAATAATAGTGAGGGGAAAAAAAGTAGGCTATATGGGTTACAGAAAAGAAGAAGAAAAAAACACTTCACTTCCCACTTTAAATTCAGTTAAACATTAACATTAAAGATTAAAATATAAAAAAGAAAATAGTTCTTATGTTTTATATGAAACGAGGGAATACGCAAAGACAAAGTATGGCATAACTTAAGAATCTTTGCATTTAATATCAATTGCATGACCAGAAGACTATAACAAATATTAAAGTTCCTGAAATATCTGATAATTATTTTCAAACATCTCAAGATTGCTTTTGGGAAACGTGGGAACGTGGCTCAGTTTACTAGTTGCATTACGACTTGAGTCAGGTCAGCCAGCGCATTCTGCTCACAGGAAAAATAAGTGACATTTTAGCAGTAAACCAAATGCAAGACTTGTCGGAGAACATACCGGGTTTTACCTGCGCAGTAACAGACGTAACTAAAAAGCGAATGCTCTTTAAATGAGCTGAAAATAACATAAATATCCGGGATTTCCGGTGGGAATATACGGAAGAGACGTGTTTTGTGCGCTACGTGGCCAGCTGTGACAGCAGCAACGGCAGCAGCAGCTCGTATTGACAGTTTGACATGATGGAGTTTGACAGAGCAGAATATGGCAACGACAGGATCGAGAAAACCAGCGAGAACGACACTGACACCGAGACTTCCGCGCCCGGCGCTGAGGAAGACCGTAAATCATCTTGGAGTTTGGAGAGAAACTGGGGATTTAATTTAGAGGAGCTCTTTAAACTTGCGCTGAAATTCTTTAAAGGTACAGAACTGATAATGAAGTAGCCGAGACTTTCACTTTCCCTTTTCTGTTTGTCCAGTAAATGCTTACAACTTTATTTTGTCGCGTCACACCGTCTGTCTATTGGTAGCACAAAATTAAAGTCCCTTTTCTGTGACTCCTTGGTTAGATGGTCTAGTTAGATACACTGTAATGATAACTCCACCCATTCAGGAACTGAAATGCCATTCATAATAATCAATATACAGGTTCTCCTAGATGTTGTCAAGGAGTCCACGATGGTTACTGTAAATGTTGTCATTATCTCACAGAGATGAATGGGAAGGCATTCAACCCAACATATGAAGAAAATCTACGTTTGGTTGCACTACATAAGCAGATCACAACTGGTCCTTATGAACCAAAAGAATGTCCAGAAATTGGCTTCTTTGACGTACTGGGAAACGACAGAAGGTAACAGAGGAATAAGCATAGAAAACGTCTCAGGTTACTTATGTAACCATGGTTCCCTGAGTAGGGAACGAGACACTGCGTCCTCTAGGAGTCGCTATGGGGAACGTCTCGTCGTGACCCGTGTCTGACGCATACATTGAAAAAACACCACGCAGTTCGAAGTTCCCATGAAAGTGAACCCAATTGTTTTGTGCAAATTATGACTGTATAAGGTCATTATAGTATTATAAATACTAGTATTACAGAGTATTATAAATAGGGTAGCTCGATATATATCAATGCACCATGGTATTCTCTGTACCATGGTACCGCCACAGCATATTTTATAAGGATGTGTAAAATAAGATTATTTATGTGCAGTACAAAGTGGGTTTTATTCTGTTAGAGCCATATAGCACAATCATACAATGTCTATAGATGCTTCATTTAGTTTGTGCAACTGCATCTCTCAGGAAAGAATGGCTACGGCTTGGCAGCATGGCTAAAGAAGATGCCATGGAGGACTTTGTGAAGCTTCTGAACTCCTGTTGTTGTCTGTTTGCACCATATGTGACATCACATAAGATTGAGAAGGAGGAACAAGAGAAGAGACGGTATGTTCTGCATTAGTTATAGTGCCTGAAGTTTCTTAAAGTAGTCTATTAATCTGTTAAGACTTGTAGGAAGCCCTTTTTATTCTCTCTCTCTCTCTCTCTCTCTCTCTCTCTCTCTCTCTCTCTCTCTCTGTGTGTGTTTAGAAGAGAAGAGGAAGAACGTCTAAGGCTGGAGAGAGAAGAGCAGGAGCGACGGCGGCTGGAAGAAGAAGCACGACGCAGAGAAGAAGAAGAGAGGAGGATAAAAGAGGAGGAACAGAGAAGAAAAGAAGAGGCAGAGAGGTTACAGATAGAGCGGCAAAAGTGAGTGCTAGTGGTTTGCTGATATTCAACGAATGGATTCACTTTCCTGAGAATACTAAAAAATAAAGTTGAACTTGTGACATTTAGTTAATTATATGAGATTAAGTAAACATTATTTAACTCATTATTACTAAACATTTTCTTTACACACACACACACGTTTATTTGATACAAGTATATACAGTATAAATTGAATACAGTAAAAACAGTATTATTGTGAAATATTACAATATAAAATAAGTTTTCTATTTAAATATATATATTTTTTAAATGTAATTTATTTTTGTTCCTGTTAGTCCAGTTTTCAGTGTCACGTGATCCTTCAGAAATCATTCTAATGTGCAGATTTGGTGCCTAAGAAACATTTCTTATTATTATCAATGCTGAAAACAGTTAATATTTTTTGCAGCTTAATAATGTTACAGTAACAACAAATAATTTCATTAAGTATTTCAAATAATTGCTGTTCTTTTTTACTAATAAAAGAATTCTGAAATAACAATAATATTAAGCAGCCAACATTGATAATCATAATAACCATTATTAACTGAAAGTTATGGACCTTTATGGACCTTTGTCAAATAATAGTTATGTGAAGAATCTTGGAGTAATTTTCGATTCTGAAATCCGCTTTGATCGTCAAGTTAACAGCGTTGTGAAAACATCTTTCTTTCAGTTAAGAAAATTGTCTAAACTGAAACCTATCCTTTCAAACAAGAACTTGTAGACTGTTTTGCATGCCTTTATTTCCACACGGTTGGATTATTGTAATGCTCTTTATCTAGGCATAAGTGAATCCCTGCTTGCCTGTCTTCAGTATGTTCAAAATGCTGCTGCGAGAATCTTAACAAACGCCAGAAAACGGGATCATATAACGCCTGTATTGATGTCTCTTCACTGGTTACCTGTAAAATACAGAATACAATACAAGGTGTTAATGTTTGTCTATAAAGCATTGCACGATCAGGCTCCTGAGTATATAAAGGACATGTTAATCTCTTACCAGTCTCAACGTCATCTGCGCTCCTCTCAGAATATGCTCCTAACCGTCCCACGGTCTCAGCTGAGGCGTAGTAGAGACCGCGCTTTTCCTGTTGCGCCTCCTGCACTCTGGTACCATTATTTATGAAATCCTTGTCAAGCATGGACATTTTCAAAAAGGACTTGAAGACCTACTTATTTTGTCAAGCTTTCGGCGTTTGATTAGGTCGGAGAATTGTGAGGGATTGGCTGCATGTTTTTCTTGATGTTATGTGTTGTTGTTATTTTATGTTTGCATGAATTTTAGTATTATTTATTATGTATGGACAGCACTTTGGTCCATTTTAATGGTTTTGAAAGTGCTTTATAAATAAAAGTGGAGTTAAGTTGAGTAACAATTGATACTGTAACAACAGTAATAATTAATAATAATTGAGCACCAAATCAGAATGATTCTGAAGGATCATGTGACACTGAAGACTGGTGTAATGGCTTCTGAAAATTCAGCTTTACATCACAGGAATACATTTACTTTAATAATAATAAATTACATATATTAATAAGAATAAAATAAATTATAAAATGTATTATATATTCAAATAGAAAACAGTTATTGCAGATTGAAAATGTATTCAATTCATATTTTACAGTATTACTGTTTTAACTGTATGTATATATGGTGACCGTGATTTCACCAAGCACAACATGTTCTTGGATCAACATCCTTGTTGATCCTGGAACAACATTCCAATTAACCAATCAGAATTGAGAGATAACTTTTCAGGAAATATCTGTTTTAGGCTTACGATCAGGGTTAGGTGCTTCTACACCCTTGTTAATCAGCTATAATTTCACACTGATTTTAGGAATAAATTATGGGTAGGGTTAGGTTTAGGGGTAGGGATTGCGTTTAGTCTATATTTTTGGACAGTAATGTTGATCCAGGATCAACAAAAGATGTTGATCCAGGAACATGTCTTACTTGCCAAAATCACAGCGACCATGTATATATATATATATATATATACTGTATGTGTATATGTTCAAAAACATAAAAAAAATATATTAATTATTCCAAACCTTTAAATAGTGTATATATTGAGCATATAGAATATCAAATAAAAACTTTAATGAATATTAACTGAGGTTTTATTTAAGCTTTAAAAAAGTTTTCATCTCTATGTGTATCACCATCTATGTGTACAGACAACATATCATGGCTGTTCTGAATGCACAAACAGCAGTGCAATTTCAACAGTATGCCAAACAGCAGCATCCAGACAATCCAGACCAGCAGCAGTTACTCATCAGACAGCTGCAGGAACAGCACTACCAACAGTACATCCACCAGGCCCTCCGCTTACAGCAGGTACGAATATGACTGGAGACTTTAGATTCAAGTAAGCTTCTTATCAGATTCTTATTGGATTCTTAAAGGGTCGTTAATATTTTGACATACTAAGAGGTCTTTGTTCCTTTAAGCATCCTGCAAGTGTCATCAGTTAAAACGTCTTTCTCAGTACAAAAAAAAGGTCTTGTTTTGCATATTGTGGGATTTGTGACGTCGCCTTTGGCATATACATTTGTGAATGACTGCCTCTAAAGCAAGACACCGAGAAATCTATTCGCATCATCGCACTATTGTCCACGGCCACTGGCGTTCAGTCACTTAACAGCTGACACCTGTTTACACCGGACACAAGTGTTGCGTTGTGTCAAAAGCGATTGAAACCCATTATAATCACTGGTGCTGTCTACACTGGACACAGTATACAGATATCTGGCCAATTTCTGATGTACTCCACATGCTTGAGCTACTCCTGACAACAGGACAAATGGAAAAGTAAAGGAACATTCACATTTGTCCGGTTTAAACAGCATGTTTTCATCTGTGCAGCCTTCAAAAGGACTTCAGCAGGAATGGGTGAATGGTTTATTTTTAATGGCATTCCGGATCACGGTGGAGGATCATATGTTTGTTAGGAGAATTTGATTGCAGATTGTTTTGTAAATGAGGCACAGTCTAATGGAGAGTTTGCACAGAAACTTTTGTTGAAAGATGAACTGTATTAGATCTGACAGCAGCTACATTTCAAACTAAAAGTAAACAATTTTAAATATTTTTGTCTGCAAGTGATTTTATATGGATAATGTTTTCAAAACACTTATTCACATGCAATCACGAGGGGGCGTTGATATGTTTTACTATGACATGACAGTCAGTCATAACAGTGGATGTTTACTAACAAGCATTGAAGGAATTCCTTAAAACGAATCATATCAGACAGAATGTTTTTGTGAATATATGTTTTTGTGAAGAAAAAAAAAATTATTTATACTTAATTTTAACTGAACCTCAAGGAACATGATCTGTCATAACCCCTTCACATTTCTCCTGTATGACTTCAGATGGCCTTGCAGAAGCAGCAGGACTCAAATGTGACTCAAACGTCAGAAACTCTTCCTGCTCCTGTGTCAAATGAAGCTGTGCCCACCTGCAATCCCAACATCCAATCAAATTCATTAGAAAATCAGGAACAACAGACAGACTCAAAAGCCTTCCATTTGTGTGTGGAAGGCAAAACGGGAGGTATGTTTTATCTATCTATCTATCTATCTATCTATCTATCTATCTATCTATCTATCTATCTACCAAACAGGCACTCCCTCTATCTATCTATCTATCTATCTATCTATCTATCTGTCTATCTGTCTATTTGTCTGTCTGTCTGTCAATAAGAATGATTTCTGAAGGATCATGTGACACCGAAGACTGCAGTAATGACTGCTGAAAATACAGCTTTGCCATCACAGGAATAAATTGTATACAGTTATACAGTTTATATAATTATACAGTTCTTTTAAATTGTAATAATATTTCACAATATTATTATGTTACTGTATTTTTGATCAAATGATGGTATAAAATTGTGTATTTTATGTATATATGATTTATGTGTATAATCATTTTATTTTATTTTTTAATTTTAAGATTTATGTATTTGTGTCTATTATTTCTGGTTGTATTCTAAAGTAATAAAAATGTATAAATATAATTGTAAAATAAAAATTAATTGTAAAAAAATTCTTCTAGCATACAACCAAAAATACATATTTTTTAACCTTTCTTTCGTTCTTGAATGCAGAAGTACCTATCATTGCTCCCTCTATGTGGACACGGCCTCAGATTAAGGAGTTTAAGGAAAAGGTGTTGCACGATCAGGACTCTGTGATCACAGTGGGCCAAGGGGAGGTGTTGACAGTACGGGTGCCCACTCATCAGGATGGCTCACACCTGTTTTGGGAATTCGCCACCGATCACTACGATATCGGTTTTGGGCTGTACTTTGAGTGGAAGGACTTGACCATGCCAGCAAGCACTGAAACTACTGAAACTATAGAAGGTAAGAGGGTGGATTTCTTTGACAAGGAGATAAATTCTTAATCAAATATTTATTATTATATCAGATTTCTTTTAAATGTTATTCTGTTTCCTAATTTAAGGCACAGAACAAGTTGAAGGAGAGAAGCAGGCAGAACAGGGCAGAAGTCCACTGGTACATGAGGTTGTTCCCGTTTCCCGTCGTGACAGCCATGAGGAGGTTTATGCAGGCAGCCACCAATATCCTGGTCAAGGAGTTCATCTTCTGAAATTTGACAATTCCTACTCCCTCTGGAGGCCAAAGGTTGTCTATTACAGAGTTTATTACACTAGATAAACATCAGCAGACCAGGTTCTGCATTCACAATCCACCTTTGAGCATGTTGAGAGTCTTTAACAGAGGCACACTACTCAAGCTGTTGAAATATGTTGTTTGTTTTGAATGCAAAGGTATTTGCATTGTGTTCTCAAGATACATGAATCTTACTTTGGAGTCATGATCCAAAGTCCTTGGAATTCCTGTGCTTTAGTAATTTGTTTTTTTTTTCCCATGCAAGAAAACAATTTTCCAATATCTTATATGTTTATGTTGAATCAATGAAGGAGTGGTGAATACTAATTATTTTTTAATTGATGTGATTGATTCCCACAACAGGTGATATTTCACCATGTATTTCTTGAGTTTATAGGACTTTTTTTAATTGCTGTGTGGGTGGTTGAAGAGATCAAGCAATAGTAGTTTAATAATTGTTACTTTTTATATTAAGGCCTAATCTTACTGTAAACGTGATTATTCTTTTCTGTTTTATATGTTAATTATAACCAGACGTTTAGGTTTTTGTTAACCTTTTGAAAGGTTATCTATATGTTTGCACACACAAAAAAAACTATTTGTGCATAAAAGCAAGTCAAGAACTACTAGTACTAGTTCTCCAAAATGTTGGCTTTCTGGTAAAGGTTCATATTGATATATTTTGTGTATTTTCTAAAGCAGACATGCGTATCCTGCTGATACCAAAACATATAGGCAACTACGCAGATACAATTTTGTACACTACAATGATGGAGAAATGTTGTGTGTAGATGTAGATAAAGAGGTAAAAAAACGATTCTAAATACATTGGATTAATAGTTCAGATAATAGTTTAAAAATTTTAATTATAAGTGGCAGCTAATCTTGCAGCTAAGGTGTAACCATGAAATGTGGTGAGGGATTTTTGTCTTTTTAATTGTATTTTTTGTATAAATAACACAATTGTCCCATTGATATCTATTCCTTTGGGAGGTCCCGCAGTGCAATCTAAATTTTGTGTGAGAACAGTATATTTTTTTTATTTGAAATAAATGCCTTTATACCCTTCATAAGTGTGCAAGTAAAATATGAAGAATATTTAAATTATCGTGAAAATTATTGTATAGCCCCATGTATGATTATTTTCTGCGTTGTTTCAGCAATAAAGTAACATGTATATATTCAAAACTTAAAAATCACAAGGTTAAAATCATCCAGTAAACATAAAGATACAGACTTTTATATTGCAATAATTCATACTTTAATCATGCATAATTGAACATTATAACCATACCAATTCAATTTGCTTTGTAATAAAACAAATGGAAAAAAAACAGCAATTGGATTTGACCATCTAGTGTCTATCATAGTTTCTTCATATTTGTAGTAGTGAATACTATGTTCATCTTTAGTTACGTGTTATAGCAGCTTTTATAGCACTGCGTAAAGCAGACAGCAGCCTGATCTTGTCCTCTTCTCTGTCTGTAGCACAGATCCACTGGCGCTTTGGGCTCTCCAGCTGAAAAGTGTTTCGAACATCTGAAAAGATTATAGATAGGTTAAAATATATAATTTTCTATTTTATAACATAATAATAAATATGACATATATAAGCCAAATAAAAGTAAAATAAATGCAGCTTTGGTGAGCATAAAAGACTTTCAAAAACTTGTAAAAAAAATCATAATTATTCCAAAAGTTTTGTCTGGTAGTGTAGTATAATTTGCTGAAGACAACATCATGAACATTGCATTTCAGTATGTAGTAATAATGACACATACACTTTGTATCTGTGAGTTCTGTGAGATTTAGACAGTGAAGGGCCACAGAGGCCAGAAAGGTGTGAGTCGTGTTCACTGCCAGACAAAATGGCACGTTTGACCCACTCCTCTCGGTCAGCACTAGAGCATCATTGAACAGAAACAATCCCAGGTCACTCACATGCTCATACATCCTGAGAAAAAAAGAGAATAAACATATCACAGATCAGTAGGGTTGCTTGAGCAAATCTGCTTCCATCAAGGAATATAAAGTTCACCCAGAAAATGAAAATTCATCAAAATTCAAAACCAATAGATCTTTTGCAGTGAATGGGTGCCATCAGAATGAGAGTCCAAAAAGCTGATAAAAACATTACAATAATCCACAAGTAATCCACATGATTCCAGTCCATCTGCTAACATCTTGTGTAGCAAAAAGCTGCTTGTTTGTAATAAATAAATCCATAATTAAGGTAAGTATTTCACTTCAAACCGTTGTTCTTAACAAATATGTCATATAACAAATATATGATGTGAGAGGACAACAGGGAATGGACTTTTGTTGCTGGAGGAAGCATTTTTAAGAATTAAGGACTCTTATTTTGGACAGAAGCGAAATGATGGATTTGTTTCTTACAAACACGCAATCCATCAATTAACAAGATGTTAATTGATGGACTGGAGTAGTGTGGATTACTTGTGATGTTTTTTATCAGCTTTTTGGACTCTCATTCTGACGGCACCCATTCACTGCAGAGGATCCATTGATGAACAATTGCTGTTTCTCATTTACTCATCGTAAATGTGATGTAATGCTTAATTTCTTTTTCTTTTCTTTTTTTAACTCTTTTACACCTTGGATGGCATGAAGGTGAATACATTTTCAGAAAATTTTCATGTTTGGATTAACTATTTCTTTAATAAAAAGATTTGCTTATAAATTCAAACATATTGAATTATGCTGTTGTTAGTCATCTACAAACAGAAAAGGTTGGCTTCAGGTAAACAGAGAGACTCCTGTTTCTCTGTCATTTGATCTCAGGTCAGTGGCAGCACCTGAGAGAGGCAGCAATGTCTCCATTAAGGCAGCTCAGTAATGCCACATCCTGTCTGGTGATCAAGTATCTGCTTTCCTCCACCAAATTCTAAATAAAGTACAAAAATACTGTTATACTATGTGTATGAACACTGACATCTGCATATAGTGCACTGCAAATATTCTGTTGTTTTAAGTACAGATAACTTGCCTTGTGACCTTTAATGGCCTGTGAGAACCTGATCTCTGTAAATAAATGATTGCTGTGATGACTATGCAACTTACTGGGCAGCTTTGGATTGTGCTCTGTGCCTCCATGATTCTCAAGTCTCGATCCAGACTCTTTTTCAACTGGAAGTGAATAGCAAAGCACTGTCTTAAATTAAGGTAAACACACATACATGTTCATATTTATTCACTGCACACTTTGTTTTTGAACACACCTTATGGATGAAGCCTCTGTAAGACAGCAGTGAGTTGAGGGCAGATGATAACTGTGTGTAGTCCGGGTGCTCAGACGGGGTGTGTAGTGTTAATGCCTGAAGCAAAGTCACATACTCCTCCACTCGTGCGGACGGTGTGAGAAACAGCTCCTGGAGACTGAATGTACAGTTGGAGTGTTGCTAGAGTCGCTCTTGTTCAACTTTGTTATCTATCACAAAACTACCAGAGCTGTAATTTGTACTGTACCTCAGCATTCTGGTAGCAACAGTGCGGTTGTGTCTCTTCAGAAAGGTGCGGAAAACAGGAAGCATCTCACGGGACTACAAGACATACAAAATTATGCAACAGATAATGACAATGATTCAGTATATCAAATAATTTACAAAAGTATTATTCTCCAGTATATATAAGTATACTCCAGTCTTCAGTGTCACATGATCCTTTATAAATAAATTCTAATATTTGGTGCAAGAAACATTTTTTTATTATTATTATTATCAATGTTGAAAACAGTTTACAACTGCTTTATATTTTTTTGTGGGAACCATGGATACACTTTGATTAATTTTTGATGAATAGAAAAGAAAATAATATATTTTTTACTTTTTTTGTAACAATGTATTTAACTTCACTACCTTCAATTAATTATTATATTATAAATATCATGAATTATTATTTCATAAATATTATTAGTTTAATGTAACTAACCTTGCCTTGTCATAAATAGGTAAAAAAAAAAAATTTAATTAAAAAAAATTATTTGCCAACTCAAAGTCATGAGGGTCTGTGGGGGTCTCTATATTATCATTTCCTGTTTTATCCAGTTTTTTTCCCCCCTGCATGTTTCTGCACATTGCTTGTACCACATGACTTTGATTTGGCAAATAAGTATTTTAAAATATTTCTAATATTTAGCAAAGCTTCACTGCTTTGTTTCTAATAACATAAAATATCTTATCAATGTTTTCTTTTCAAGAATTTCATTCTTTTAATGAGACTTTCTCCAAATGAAATTTTCTTCATTATATCAACTTAGACTTTATTAAAAAAAATATCAAAATATATTTTATTGAAGAGGTTTATTCAAGTCACATTAACATACCTTGTCTATCGTTTTTAGAATGGTAGCATAGTTGTTGAAAAAGTTAGTGTAGACCCGTAGCTTGGTACAAAACTTGACACAAACATCCCCCACACACTGCAGCGGACCCCACTCCTCCCACCTCTCAGTCAGCTCCTTCAGAAAAACACTGTGAAGAGCAGAGTCTAAGTCAAATGAGAAAGTAACAGAAATAGAAACAGAAATGTAGATGTGGAAACGGGAAGTATTTTACTTGTTTGTCTCCAAAACGTCCAGCAGAGGGCAGAAGATGGTGATGAGACTGACTGAGCTGATGATGGCTCGGTTGGAGTCCAGTGCCGCTCTGAGAGGGGTGTAGTACACTGTGGCCACCGCTTGAAGTTGTCTCACGTATGTTTTCTCACTATTTAAAAGCTCTTTGCACAAATCACTGCGTCTATCTGCATCACTTGACAAGCCCTTACAAAAAAGACACATTTTTAAGCAATGAAGGCATTTGGTAAACCAAATTAATTATCTAAAATAGAAGCATTAGCACTAACCTTTGGAGATTCTGGACTGAGGCCATTAAAGGAAGCACTTTCTGTTAGAAACAGTGGGTCAATGTTCTTCAAACCACTGTTGACTGATGACTTGAGTAGAAAGTGTCCCAAGAAGTCTAAGGGATCATCCTACAGCATGACAGCAAAAACAGTGAATCAGATTTAGTATAATGAAGTGTGATAATCTGAGATTTACTGGAACAAAATGTTTCTTGTTTACCGGAGTCTCATTCATCAGGGCCACGAGCCCATGAACCAAACACTGCATGACCTCTGATTTAAGGGAAATGACAGGCATCTTTATATGATCCCAGAGGAACAGACCTGGAAAGGCCACACAAACGTTTATTCAAGTCACATTAACATACCTTGTCTATCGTTTTTAGAATGGTAGCATAGTTGTTGAAAAAGTTAGTGTAGACCCGTAGCTTGGTACAAAACTTGACACAAACATCCCCCACACACTGCAGCGGACCCCACTCCTCCCACCTCTCCGTCAGCTCCTTCAGAAAAACACTGTGAAGAGCAGAGTCTAAGTCAAATGAGAAAGTAACAGAAATAGAAACAGAAATGTAGATGTGGAAACGGGAAGTATTTTACTTGTTTGTCTCCAAAACGTCCAGCAGAGGGCAGAAGATGGTGATGAGACTGACTGAGCTGATGATGGCTCGGTTGGAGTCCAGTGCCGCTCTGAGAGGTGTGTAGTACACTGTGGCCACCGCTTGAAGTTGTCTCACGTATGTTTTCTCACTATTTAAAAGCTCTTTGCACAAATCACTGCGTCTATCTGCATCACTTGACAAGCCCTTACAAAAAAGACACATTTTTAAGCAATGAAGGCATTTGGTAAACCAAATTAATTATCTAAAATAGAAGCATTAGCACTAACCTTTGGAGATTCTGGACTGAGGCCATTAAAGGAAGCACTTTCTGTTAGAAACAGTGGGTCAATGTTCTTCAAACCACTGTTGACTGATGACTTGAGTAGAAAGTGTCCCAAGAAGTCTAAGGGATCATCCTACAGCATGACAGCAAAAACAGTGAATCAGATTTAGTATAATGAAGTGTGATAATCTGAGATTTACTGGAACAAAATGTTTCTTGTTTACCGGAGTCTCATTCATCAGGGCCACGAGCCCATGAACCAAACACTGCATGACCTCTGATTTAAGGGAAATGACAGGCATCTTTATATGATCCCAGAGGAACAGACCTGGAAAGGCCACACAAACCAGGAAAATGGTTTGAATACACACACCGGATACGCTCCTATAATATAAGGTATTTAACTGACGTAACTGCACAAGACTATGTTTTAATTTCTGACTTGCCCAGGATGCGGCCTCTGATCTCTTGACACATAAAGTGCAGCTGTGGCCCCAGCTGTTTCCGCAGGTCCTTACAGGCTTCCTCTATCCATTCAGCCTGTCTGCACCAGCTCAGAAGGAGGCTCTCATGCAGGTACACCAGTGGAGGAAACTCACCAGACCCAGACCACTCACTGAAAACTAGCAGAAATACAGAAATTGCTCTTTAAAAACCATGTGATACTTTACTTTATTTATGTATAATCAAATAAATAAATAATAATAATTAAATAAAATTCAAATTAAACAATAAATGTTTTTATTATTATGATTGTTTTTAAAATCAATATTATTTTATGATATATAAAGATATATTATAAAATATAAGTATATTTAAAATTTAAAAAGTAACATGATTATAATGATTTATTAAGAATTATTAATATTCTTTATTATTTTGTATGAGAATATTTATATAGAAACAATATACATAATATTGAAATTCTATAATTAAATATGACATTTTATTACATTCATGGATGGATGGATGGATGGATGGAGATAGATCGATAGATAGATAGATAGATAGATAGATAGATAGATAGACAGATAGAAAATTTGGGCTAAATATATGAGAACATCTTCTATACTGTTAGTTATGTAAAAAGTATCCCAGGATGCACCTCATGAAGTTGGTTGAATTAACAGAGCTTGCAGTGCTCTAATCTAGACAAAGGTCTTAGATAGTCTTGATTTTTTATTTATTTATTTACATTTTTTTTTTTTTGGTCACTACATAATTCTACTTCCATTTGTGTTATTTCATAGTTTTGATAACTGTACTATTATTCTAAAATTTGGTAATAAATAATAATGTGTTCACACTTTTGACTGAATATATAATAACCCACTCTTAAGAGATTTTTCTGCAACTCACTGTGCTGGTAGGAACCCGTACAGATCCCTGTGGGAGCTCTGACATTCAGACCAGTCAAAATGGACAACTTCCTCATCAGATCCATCCCTGCACCTGAACAATCAAACAACTCCTGAATAAAAGATTCAGGAGTTCTGAATTTACAGAAAATGTTACATGGGACAAAATGCCACTGGGACAAAACAGACAAACTCTACCAGAAGCTGCCAGGGGAGCAAAGATGTTCAGACTCCCTCCTTCTGAAGCAGGAACTACCCAACCACACAGATTCTCCCAGAACTTCCTCACACACGGCTTCAGCACTGTCTTCTCATTAATGCTCAGCCCTGGATAAGAGGCAATGTACACAATGTATATGTATATATATATATATATATATAGAGAGAGAGAGAGATAGATAGAGAGAGAGAGATAGATAGATAGATAGATAGATAGATAGATAGATAGATCGATAGATAGATAGATCTGTAGGATGTGATCACTACAGAGATTAAACCTTTACATTTCAAATATTTAATTCTATTTTCTCTTCTATTACATTATATTTTAAGCCTATAGATATGGATGATTTAATAGAGTGTTTGTTTTGTTATGTTGACTTATTCTCATGATTTACAGCTACTTTTGTATTGCAATTTATTGAAGTAATTCAAGTATTTGGCATAAATTCGACAGCAGCTGTGTTTTACATGGTTATAAAATCTGCCCTCATAAAGAAAAAAAAAAATCATAAAATCTATCCCAGCAGGCAAATACGTAGCCCCTAAAACTGCCTGGTAATTTCTTTTTTTTTAAGTAAGATTGGACCCAATGTTGAATTAATCAGGGAAATTACCATCTGTGAGAGTTATCTCTTCTGTGCTCCCTGTCACCAGAATGCCGAGACTTTGCACCATCCTGCCTTGGATCACCCTTTCCGCCAGAGAAAGCAAAGCCTCCAAGGTCATTCCTTGTGAGTCATATGGTAAAACCACCACAGACACTTGCACCGCGGCCAGAAGCAGCTAGAAATATGAAGTTGAAATCCTTCGGTTCATAAACAACTGTCTATCAATCAACAAGAGACATAACTCAATGATAGACATGAATGAGAAATAACACCGTTTTACTTCATATCCAGGAACGCTAGATGACACAAGCAGGAAATGAGGAAGAGGTCTATAGGAAGACTTGACTGGCTGGATGAATAGTGAACTGTAAGGAAACAGCATGCTCAGGATTATATTTTAAATATTGTTGTGAGAAGAATTACAAAAGGTACCTAAATAAGTATAGAAAAATCCAGAAAGATATTCACCAATGTTGTTCACAGTAATACTGACCTCATAGTTTTCAATAAACTGGTGCTCCCAAGAGTGTTATTCAAGCTTAAATCAAGCCGTGGTTCTCTTATATCCACACTAGAGAGTGAACTTTTCAATCGACACTTGTCCTACATAAGACAACCATGACAAATAACACTTTTGTTTACATTTTCCTTGCATGCAGTACAAGTCTAATATTGTGATACATCCAACTTGAAGATGAGTAACTAACATGATCAACATAATCAGTTAAATTAAATTAAATTAAATTTGGATGGGACAGGTCAGTAGACAAACACTTTTTAGCTAATAATTATGCATCTTAATTAAAGCTTTTGCTTTAAACTTTTATTGTCAGTGTCTCACCCCAAATTGAACAAGAGCAGCAGTAAGACTGAGTGGCTTATGAATGGTTCCAGTAAATGATGTGCCCAATTTGCTGGTGTTTAACCATGCCCTCCTGGTCTTCAAAGCAGCCTCTGTGGAAAAATCAGATGGGACTATAAGGACCAGAGTGTCAGCCAACTGAGATAATTAGCCTCAGATAATTTATATTAATTAAAACTCCTTAACCTCGATCAGATCATTTCATAAGGGCATGTACAGTACATGAAATGCTGGAACCCTGGCACTCACTTTTATGCTCTGCTACCTTCTGTCTGATAGTTTGTCTTATCTTGTGTTCTCTCCATATATCCTGTTGCTCCTCTGGTGCTGTCAAACTCTCATTCAAGGTACCATAGACACCTGCTGCTTCCCGTGGAGTCAGAATATCTAAACTGGCGGTACAAGCCACATAATGTCTTTTCCACGCCCCATACTCATGATCTGAAGGGCTGTAGGGAAGAAACCAGCCAAGGCGGATGCACTTTGGAGACCACAGACAGTCCTAGAGAATCACATAGAGATTGTACTGTGGGTGAGTAAACTTGACATTTCTGGCAGTGATTTTCAAACTAAATTTACCCTAGTTTAGAAAACTTTGGCTAACAATGTTTAAATTAAAACAGAAATGTAATAAAAAGCCTGGTATCTAATAAATTAAAGTCACATTTGTACTGATTAATTTCTTACCTGCTCTGCCAGAAATTTCCAGTGCCAGCACACCTGTGCTGCAGAGCAGATGTCTCGAGGACTGAGGAAGGACATGATGTAGAGAGACAGAAAGCGAGGCAGCACAGCTGTGAAGTCCATTTGAGTGATGGGGACTGATTCTGCCAAACAATCCCTGGTGAATCTGAAATTATAAAAATATATATTCCCCCAGTTTCACAGACAAGGCTTAAACCTAGCCCTAGACTAAAATGTAAATCTGAGCTGTTTCAACTGAAAGAAACTTGCACTGACTGATCTTAAAACATGTGAGTGCCTTTGTTTTGTCTTAAGATGCACACCAGTAATGCTTTTTTCTAAGGCATGTTTATAAAAATTACTTAAATGTCCTAATTGAACTATGGCCTAATCCTGGTTTAGGCTAAGCCTTGTCTATGAAACCGGGCCATTGACTACAAATTAATTGTCTGAGAAAGTGGAGTTCTTGTGTGTGAATCATGTAAGATCAGACATTATGAATTGAGAATTTACTTGAGCTGGGTTTTGGAGCATCTTTTCAGCAGCTGACATAGAAATTCTTTTCTTTGTCGGTCCGTCCACAGATCAAACCAATGGAGGATGAGACTTGTTCTTTCCTGAAAAAGCTGCAAATTTGTCAGATTTAAATGTTGTTGTTCAGTGTGTGTGTGTGTGTGTGTGTGTGAAATGTAAAAATAAAACTTAATTTTAAAAAAGAAAAAGCTGCTAATTTGTCAGATTGTGTTGTTGTAAAAATAAATTATGTACATATATTCACACACACACACACACACACACACACACATATATTACATACATAAATAAATAATTATTTAAAAAAGAACAACTTTTTCTGACCTGTTGGTTACATGCTTTATTTGTCACAGGCGTCCAGGCACTGAATCTGGTTTCTGTGCCGTCAAAGCGCGACGCGTCTGACAACGACTGTCTGTAGTCACTTCCATTCATCTGCCATTGATTAATCATTTCCTGATTTCCGCGGGTTTTTGACTTATGATGGGTTCTAAAGTCCACAGACGTCATAATAACGGTTAAAGTAGTTTAAACAGTCCAAAACTAAAACTGTATTTCCCCGTTTGTAGGTAAAATAACAAGCGGAGACATATTCGTATGCGCTCCATAAAATGAATACGAGTTTTGCGCGAAAATGAGGGCTTCTGCCCGTTATCGGCTGGAGTTTAGTTCCAAACAGACCTCGAGTAACGTTAAACGTCCAGGAACGAGCGCCTACTTTACAAACTCGTTTCCCTGGAGACCAAATAACAAATGAAGCTCTGCGAATTCCTTCACACGAATCGCGTTTCTTTCGGCAGCTCGTTTGATTTTTTTTTTTTACATATTTGTTACGTATGTTAAATACGTAAACTAAATTAATACATTTATGTTAATCTACGTCATTGAAAAATCAGATGCGAGGTAATACAACTTGAACTTTATTGATGCATGCATGAATAAAAAGTTTAATCAACAATCAGCCAGTAGGTTACACTTTACTTTTCCAACATTTCAAATCAAAATAAAATATGTAAATATGACTATAAGCAAAAATATACAATATTATTTTACTTTAATTCTGCAGTCTCAGCAAACTGACATCCTGCCATTATCTTTCTATTCATTCCCTTAAGACAAGACATATATAAAAATGAGCCCATCAAAGTGAATTAGTGATCATGCAAAGGTGCTGCTATTGTACAACTCCAAGGCAACATTTAAGACATAAGATTAGAAGTCACAATGCTAACTTTACCTTATGAACACATATTTCTTGTGATGAAATGATGTGATGAGAAAGACAAGTGGGCATTTCATCACGACTGTTTGGATTTGTTCTTTGATATCATATCTACAAAACTATACAGTGCAAACAAGCCAAGCTGACCAATTCTACAAGTTTCAGATCCACAGTGTCACCGATATGACTGTAATACTGGTGTTTCTCCACAGCTTTTCTGTGCTAAATATGCACACAGTATTCTCCATGGTAGAGCCTTTGTAGTTCACATGCCGGAAGTTCTGGGGACATCTTGACAGTCAGCGAGGTTAAGCTTTTGTCTAAGGAATTACAGTTAAGGATTTTATACTCCGTCAAGCCATAAAAGAAATGACTTGTGTTAGACAACCTGTAAAAGAACAGTTTGATTTTAAGGATGTAGCATGCTGCTGTCAGATCATGCAATTAGTAGGAACGTGTTGGACAACTTGTATATATTCAATAATTATATTATTGCACCCGAAAATGCATGCTTTGAAATGAGTCAGATAATTTACTAAGTAGATATACGTTTTGCATTAAAAATGTATGCTTTGCAGTCAGCCAGTAAGAATGAGTCCAAACATCTGATAAAAACCTTACAATAACCCACAAGTAATATGCATGACTCCAGACCATCAATTAACATCTTGTGAAACAAAAAAAGGCGTGTTTTTTAAGAAACAAACTCATCAAGTAGTTTTTAACTTCAGCTTCCAGCTAAAATAAGTCATCTATCCATAATATTGCCTACTCCAGTGAAAAAGTTATCTCGTCTGACTCAAGAGAGAAATATGCACTGATCAAGCACCGTTTACAAGCAAAAAGAGTTCTAAACATATTCAACATATAAACATTTCACTGGAGGATGCGTTGTTATGGATTGTTATGGCTTTACAAACACTCAGGGACGTTAACTGTTGAACTGGAGTCATCTGGATTACTGGAAGATTATTGTGATGTTTTTATCGTCTGTTTGGGCTCTCATTCTGACGGCACCCATTCACTGCAGAGGATCCATTGGTGAGCAAATAATGCAATGCTAAATTTCTCCAAATCTGTTCCAATGAAGAAACAAACTCACTGACATCTTGGATGACCTGAGGGAGAGTGCATTTTTAGCAAATTTTAATTTTTGGGTGAACTATTTCTTTAACTAACCACTATAACAGCATCCATTTGAAAGTCATCGACATAACTGTTAAAACCATTAAAGGATACATTGAGGAGCTTAACTCTTCCAGCTGAAGGGAAAAAGTGAACTTCATTAGACTCTCTGGACAATTGCATGAAAGAACTCAGATTTGTGGATTTCATGACCAATTATTTAATATTGCTTTGCTTACATTTAATAACAGTTTATCCATGTTAGTGTCATAGGCGGACTTCCTCTGGTCTTCTGGCAACTCATCCACTTCTCCATACAGGTCGAAGTGCAGACGAGCCAGTGTTTCCTGCATTTCTCTCACATGCTCCATCTGATCGATGGAGCACTCATTGCCTGATTCAGAGAAGATTCTGATTTCAATCAAAACTGTAAACACACTTTAATATAGCTGCACCGTACTGTAAGAGCTTACCAAAGGCTTGTAATTTTCCAGAGTGGAAGTCATTAAGAAGGCTGAGCAGCCCCTTCTCCATCTCCTGAACATCAGACACATCTGTGAGAAACGAGTGCTGGATGCGGGCAGATTGGTTACTCTTACTCAACTGACTCTGAGGCCTTGGTTTGTCTCGCACTCCCCTAAAACCCAAAAACAAAATAAATAAATTAACCAAAATATGAAGAGTGAAATATGAAACTGCAATTTTAATAACTTACACAGATTTAATACGATGATAGATGACACTCACCTGCGATACTTTGTCCTCTGACTGGAGTGTGTGACCACACCACCTTTCTGCTCTGATCTGCTGCCGGATGTTGTCGTTTTCCGGGCAGTGATTGGGGGAGGAGGCTGGTTGGAAGACGGTTTTGGGCTTTTACGTTTCTTATTCTTTTCCTCCATTGTGTCATCCAAATCACCTACAGAATAAAATAATACTTCTAAGCAGAGGAGCCTGAAAAGTTTTAAGTAATTTCCGTTTACATTAAGACCATATATTTGATAATGATGCCCTGCAAGCTTCAGTTTTGGTAATGTTACATAATCCAGAGGTTCCCAACCTTTTTGACTACAAGCCCCCCATTTTCCAAGACAACATTTAAAAGCCCCATATGTAGGCCAATATATTTCCAAACTTTGTATTACTAGAAAGGGTGTTGACACTACCATAATGAACCACAATTAGTTTGCATGACTCCAGAAGTTTCAAGAAGTGTATGTTCTGCTATAAAAACAACAGTTATTGAGAGGATAAAAAAAAAAAATAATAATAATAAAAACCTGACTTATTTTTTTAGAAGTATATAGCATTGTAATGAAGTCAGATTTTGGAATATAATTTTGAAATAATATAAATCCGAATAAAATATACATTGTAAATAATTTTAAATTAATTTTGTAGCCTCCGCGGAAGGCCCCCTAGCCTAATAATCACGAGGGCAGTGTAGTAACGCATGCACAATTGTAGTCGACAGAATATAAGTATAATTTTACCGCACAAAGGAAGACTCCACTTTTTAGACTTGAATATTATCCCCTTTGAAAGACATTCTCGATGAGATTAGGCTGCTCTAAAATTGGCACAGCTGACCAGCAAGTTTACAAAAGGCACTTCCGGGATTTTCACGTCATCGTGGTGATATCAACACGCCCTGCGTCCCAATGTTCATACTATCCATCCTTATTAGTATGTGAGATTAGAAAGTGTCCCAAAGCATAGTATGTTGAAAAGAGTATGCCAAAAGTCCCCGGATGGTCTACTATTTCAGGTAGATTTTTTTAAGTGTGGATCCGTGCACACTCTAATGGCTAATATTGCCCACAATTCATTGCGCTTTGGCGAAGGATCCTGTTCAGAACTACAAACACGATTTAAAAAGCCTTAAAAAACTACAAACATGGCGGATGTGCGCGACCGTGAGGTTTAGATAACGGGGTTTGAGTTACTAATAATTAAAAAAAGAACGTGCTACTTCTTTTCTCTCCAATACGGTAGGAAGTTAAATGAAATGTGGAGGATGTTAACTGTGACAAGATTATTGACAGGCCAGTCAGTGACAGGATGCGACAGAGCGGACGTAGTATGTCCCAAAGCTTGCGTACTCTTCTACTACACACTCATGAGTGTGTACTTTTTCTTCACCAAAAGAGCACTTCTTCTTTTTCTTGTTTTTTTTTACATTTTTTTATGGCGGTTGGCAAACAACTTTAAGGTATATACCGCTACGTGCTGGTTAGGAGTGTGGGCCAAGGTCACACAACCCTTTTCCCAGTATCCCTTACACACCTAAATTCTTTTATCTAATTCAGTCTTTTTCAGATATTGCATTAAAAAAAATCAAAACCTTCATCACATGAGTACCTTTGTAATATGTTTGTTAAATCACACTTAATCTTAATTCAAAATCAAATCAATGTTCTCCTTTCACTATTATACTTTGGGCATTTTCATTACAACATGCTCTTCATTTTCTTGTTAAAGGGGTCATATGATGCGATTTCAATTTTTCCTTTCTCTTTGGTGTTGTTAAAAAGAACTTTGGATAAGTAAGATGAGTGGATAAGAATTGAGTTTAAAGGGATAACTTACCCCAAAATGAAAATTCTGTCATCATTTATTCACCCTTATGTTGTGCCAAACCTGAATGACTTTCACAAAAGCAAATGTAAGGCAGAATTTGCCTCGGTCATTATTATCTTTCAGTGCATCTTTTGTCTTTTTGTGCTACACAGAAGAAATCAAGTCATGCGGGTTTGGAACAACACGAGTGAAACATTTTGGCTGAAATATTCTTTTAAGTTTGTTTGTGTGAATTTGCGTCTACCTTGTTGGAATTTGAAACAGGAAAAGGCTGCAGAAATGAAGGAAAAGACATATGAGATCTGTTTCCTGTGTGCTTTAATTTGGATATGATTAATCACGATTAATCGCTTTGACAGCACTAGTACAGATTTATGAATGCTCAGAACCACCTGCATTTGAGTTATATAAATCTTGATACAAGTATATGTATATTTTCAGAGCCGGGAGACGGGTGTCAAAACAATGACCATGCTGGATGAGCAGGGAGGTAAGTGACTGCACCATTCCATTCCTTTGGAATGGTTTAATCACATTAAACCATTGCTATAATCTGTAAGAACTTCATTTAGGAGATTCTGGCTTGTTAAGACCTCATTTCATCTGCTTCATTCTGTCTTGATCAGAGCAACTGAGGCGAGTCGATCAAGGAATGGACCAGATCAATCAGGACATGAGGCAGGCTGAGAAGAACCTGACTGATCTGTCCAAATGCTGTGGCCTGTGTGTGTGCCCATGTGACAGGTTCGCTATTATAACTCCACTTCTAAGCTCCTGGATTTAAAATATTCTGCATTGTGTTGTATCATATAACATTAAATTCAGTAGTATTTTTGCGGGGACTTCTCTTTGCATATTATTGAAATTAAATGAATTGTCATAAGATCTTTCTGGAGTTAATGACAGTATTAAAAACCTCCTTTCTTTCAGAGTGACTTCCATTGAGCATGATGGGAGATATAAGAAGACTTGGGGCACAGGTAGTGACAACTCCAGTACAGACAGAAAAGAGGGTGGTGTTGTATCCAGCCAGCCTACTGGTGTTCGCAATGGACAGGCTGTTTCGGGTGGGTCAGCGGGTGGATCTGGCCCCTACATCAAGAGGTGAGGGGAAAAATAGCACTAAATAATGGGAATTCATCCAGTGTCAGACTTGAATCTTTTGATTTGAATCAATTGTTTAAAGCAAGTAAATGAGAACCATGTGTTAAAGGTATAGTTCACTCAAAAATGAAAATTACCCCATGATTTACTCACCCTCAAGCCATCCTACGTGTATATGACATCTTAGGTGTATATTATTAAAACTTTATAAAACATATTCCTCGTTTTATACTTCTAATTTGTGACCGGTGTTTTGTTTTGCTCTCTCCACTGCGCCAAAGTCTCTTTCAAGGAAAGTCTGTTCACTCTGCAGCCATATTTGCAACGCTTCCCTGCGGCTATTTCGGGCATCCAAGACCAAGTCCTATCTAAATGAATGGGGGAATCCTGAAATCTCAAAAAGTGCCTGCTGAACTCACAATTAAGTTTCATATTTCAAATCAGCAACAAAATCTGAAATGAACTGCCCCATGAATGTTGTTCCTTATGCTCAAATAGTGTTAAAAAAAGCGTATTTTTCAGGCTAGACCAGCCAATGCGCATGTGCAGTCGTAAGTGCTAGTCTCGGGTTTCTATGGGAACCGGAGCTTCTAACCGCAGCTGCAGTGACGCAATAAGTTTACCAATCAGTGATTGGCTCTTTCAGTTACAAGGCGGGACTATTCCGCCATATTGCGTGTTGCAGTTTCTCCCATTCATAAGTAATGGCAGTGAATTGTCTTTGTATATCTATAGTCTTTGACTGCGCTTCCGCGTTCATCACTTTTCACCAGAGCTTACGCTACGACTACGTCCTATGTCATCCGCTGGAACACCACTCTCTTGTGAATGCACATACGACAGTTAGCGGAAGCTAGAGATTACGGTTTATAATACACTTTATTGGACTTCAAAATCTCAACACCCATTCACTGCCATTATAAAGCTTGGAAGAGCCAGGACATTTTTTAAATATAACTCCAATTGTATACATTGTCTTTGCCCTGCCACATAAATACATGTTGACATTTCTGCTTTCCCAAAAGAGTAACAAATGATGCACGAGAAGATGAGATGGAGGAGAATCTGGAGCAGGTGGGCAGCATAATTGGGAATCTCAAGAATTTGGCCATGGATATGGGCAATGAGATCGACAAACAGAACAAAACCATTGACCGCATCACTGATAAGGTAAAGCTACACCATCAAACAGCCAGAGGTCAGATCAGCAGTCTTCCCCATGATTGTGTAGCCTAGTGAACCAAACTGAGAGACCATTTTGAAGGCTCAGGAAACCTTTGCAGGTGTTTTGAGTTGATTAGCTGATTGGCATGTCACCATATTCTAATTTGTTGAGATAGTGAATTGGTGGGTTTTTGTTAAATGTGAGCCAAAATCATCACAATTAAATGAACCAAAGACTTAAACTACTTCAGTCTGTGTGCATTGATTTTATTTAATACACGAGTTTCACAATTTGAGTTGATTACTGAAATAAATGAACTTTTCCATGACATTCTAATTTATTGAGATGTACCTGTATGTGTATATATATATGTATTGTATTAATATATATATTGTATTAATATATATATTATAGTAATATATATATATATATATATATATTGTATTAAAAATATATATAATTTTTCCCAGGCTGATATGAATAAAGCTCGCATTGATGAAGCCAACCAACGAGCCAACAAACTTCTGTAGAGAATGGACACTGCCAGCATCGCTCAGGAGCCTGATTGTTTGATCTCTCTCTCACACACACACACACACACACACTTTCTGCTTCACAGCAATGAACTGCAGCAAGTGAGTTAAGTTCTTCCAATGCCATCAGTGCCTTTTTTTTTTTTTTTTTACCGTTCTGTTTGTTCTATTGTAAATAGTTGGACACATGCACACAGATATATTTCAGAGCCTCCTGTACAATCAAGTCTTCACCCTTAATGTATGAGACAAATATGCTGGACGCACCGAGTGCAGTTGTTTTTGTGGCTTTGCTCACTGTGCTCCTCTCAGTCTGTAATGGATGGAGTCTAATCTCTCGGGATGGTGATGGGTTTTGTCCATCCCTCTCACTGCACTTCAGTCAACATGGCTAATTGCTTCAGTAGACTGAATGAGGGGCCAAAGACTTACGACAGAACTTTTAATGTTCTGGTATGCTGCCCTTATAGTCGTTGATATATGTTTGGGCTAATGATATAATGTTTGTTTTCTGTTTAGCTCGATCTATGACTGATTATACTCGTATTTAATTATCTTAAAAGTCATTAATGGGCCTTGTGAATACAGTTAGTCCTGTTCAATGTTTGGGCGGGGAAATAATTTACCATGCTATATAGGAATTGGACATTTCAATGTATCTGTTTTACTGCTAATAAAGCCTGTATAATAATTCCTTGCATGTTTTCCCTTTTTGTGTGTTGAGTCGACTTTACCAGTAGAGGGTGCTGCCACATTATTTTATGATGAAAATTTGAAGATGGGATTTGAGGTGTTTATTGCCTGTATATACACCAGTGCATTTTCCAAACTAGCATTGTAAGATACACTTAGTTTTTGTGGGAGCCAAATGTAATGGTTTTTAACCACTAGATCAGTGGTTCTCAAACCTGTCCTGGAGTACCCCCAGCCCTGCACATTTTGCATGTCTCCCAGATCTATCACACCTGATTCAACTCATCAGCTCATTAGTGGAGACTGCAAGACCTGAAGTGGGTGTGTCAGATATAGGGAGACATACAAAATGTGCAGTGCTGGGAGTACTTCTTGGAGAGGTTTGAGAACCACTGCGATGGTGGTGTGGAGTGGGAGGAGTCTGTGTAGGTCATATGACAGTTCAACCTCTCATGTTTGTGTTTGGTACTTGGTGAACAGGTGGCGGGAATACTTGGTTTTACTTTTTAATTGCTTGCATATATTAGTACTTGTGTTTTTGTGGATTTAGACTAGGCTTAATTCCCAACATATTTTTGGGGATCTTCTTTAAAAAACACAATTATTTAGGCACATTTATATTATTCTTATTCAGTTGTCCATTTGAATTGGCATGGTCACATTAGGGAAAAATTGTGTATTGTCATTAGCAATGCACACTTAAACCTACAAACCTAGCAGATTTCTGCTGGCAATGCAACAAATTTGCGTGAAAGGCTTGAACTTGATGCGAAATCTGTGTGAGGAAAATTTTGACCTAATTACAGATTATGTGGGTTTCTATTGGAATGACTGGAATTGGCCACTTAGTGACGAGCTCTCATCGGTTATGAAAAAAGATGCATCATAACAGAAGTATTTGGAATGGCAAGATTCGAAAAACAATAATTTTGCGCATGAATGCCTGCCAATACCACTAATGCCTCTATTGCAAATATTATTTGTCAATATGTAGCAAGTAGCATGTAAAACAAATGTTTATTACAACATTATTTTCAACTGTTACAAAGGCACTCTTTTAAAAGAAGTCAAATGTCTGTATGGTGTTTCTTAGCCCGGTTCAGACTACACGATTTTAGCCCGATTTTGCCACGATTTGCTTGAGGTAGGGTGTCATGGGGATTAGTAAACGACAATGGGCGTCGGACGCAAGATTCCATCGTTACAGCACGTGTGTAGTGTGTCATAGTGGACGACAACATATTCCACATCTGCGATGCTTCACAACATCACGACAGAAAGACTAGCATGTTTAATTTTTTTTCCATCGTCCACGACGAGTTCTGTGATGCCGGGTTCAGACTAGGCCTACACGATATTTTTGTCGGTCACGATAGTCACTGTGTCGGATTACACGATTTTGACTCCTACAATCTTGTCCTGTAGTGGACAAGAAACATGTCAGACTACACGTTGCTTCCCAAGCATTCCTCGCGTGCCGTCTTTAACGACGCGCGTGATGTCATCGAGAAGATTGCAAGTTTTTCTCACAATTCAGACTTTTTCTTCCTCTAAATTTTGAGTTTAAATCTTGCAATTCTTTTTTTTTTTGTTTTTTGTTCTGTCACCGAATAAAAAATAAAAAAGGTAATTGTGACTTTTATTTTACAGTTATTTTCTCTCTAATATCCAGCAATTCAGACTTTTCTTTTAATTTCATTTTTCACAAATAGTCAATTACCTTATTTATTTATTTTTTTATCCCATGGCAAAAACAAGCTTCCATGAATATTTGATGTTAACATTTGACTAACTTTCTTTGTATTTGTTTGTCAGTCACTTGAAAGCACTAGACGAATGTTACAAATGACAGAAGAGGTAAGAGGTCTTTTTTTAACCAGTTTAACCAATGACATGAGTGCTCCTTAAAAACATTGTTGTTATTTATCACACAAAAATGCTGTTGTCATTTGCTCATTGCTTAGAGTTGAACTTGAAACGTGTATTTTTGCAGAGTTTGAATGTTGGGGTCAAAACAATGACTATGCTAGATGAGCAGGGGGGTGAGTCCTTTATCTCAGTACACCTGATTCCTGATGTCTACTTCAATATAACCACACAATTTGGAGGCCTGTTCACACACTAAATCATTTCTGTAGATCTTTATGGATGATGTTTAGAGTACACGGGAGAGTAACTAGCATTGAATGGTTCTTTCTTGAACTATAGTCACATTTGCCATTGCTTGGTGAAATTTCATGTTTGAAATACAGTCATTTCTGCACAACTGCACAAAAAGGTGAAAAGTTATGGTTCTTTCTTGAACTATAGTCACATTTGCCATTGCTTGGTGAAATTTCATGTTCGAAATACAGTCATTTCTGCACAACTGCACAAAAAGGTGAAAAGTTTACCAACATAGATTTCACCCTGGGTTCAGGTTGGTCATGCAAATTTGCTGCTTGGTTGGAAAGTGATCTCTTGTGTGAGAGATAGACAGTATACTATACTATACTTTTTTGCATGTGAAATTTTGCTAATATGACTGCCGCACCTTTATTCTCTTTTTTTCTTATATTAGAAAAACTAAAGAATGTGGAACAGGAAATGGACCAGATCAAGGAGGACATGAAACAGGCTCGAAAAAACTTGAATGAACTGTCCAAATGCTGTGGCCTCTGTTTGTGCCCTTTCAACAGGTTGGCTATAGCAAATATCTTATGTATGACAATAAGTTATATATTTGAAGCAGTTACACTGTTTCCTGTGGGATTACGACACAAATAAGAAGTAAGGAACTGTGGTACAATATTGAAACATAGGCAACTTCAGAAGTTCTCAACCAGAGGGCAGGGGTTATTTGGGGACCAAATGAGCATTAAATTAAAGCTAAAAAAAATAAAAAATCAAGATATTTTTAATTTGAATTCTTCCCCTAATTTTTTTCCCTCTAAATTTTGAGTTTAAATCTTGCAATTCTTTTTTGTTGTTGTTCTGTCACAGAATAAAAAATAAAAAAGGTAATTCTGACTTTTATTTTACAGTTCTTTTCTCTCTAATATCCAGCAATTCAGACCTTTCTTTTAATTCAACAGGTTGGCTAGAGCAACTATCTTATGTATGACAATAAGTTATATATTTGAAGCAGTTACACTGTTTCCGATTACAACACAAATAAGAAGTAAGGAACTGTGGTACAATATTGAAACATAGGCAACTTCAGAAGTTTTCAACCAGAGGGTGGGGGCCATTTGGGGACCAAATAAGCATTCAATTAAAGCTAAAAAATCCAAAATCCAAAAATCAAGATATTTTTTATTTGAATTCTTCCCTTAATTTTGAACCAGGGAACCCTGTCTTGAAAAACCTGGTTATATAAAGAAGTCTAATTTTGAAAGTGTGGTTTTATAGAACTGGAAAAGTAAATTAATAAATTACAATTTATGAATAAATGAATATACATTTTTTCTAGTTATGTAAAGCTCTACAATATTTTATAGGGTAGAAACTGTGAAGTCAAAAAAGGCTGAGAACCACTGGCTACATCTTTTTTCAGGCTTATTATTCAAAAGTAGAGGACTTGCTGTATATGAAAGCAAATGTTGTGTTTTGGATACTAGTTCCTAATGTGAAATGTTGGTCTATTGATATCCTCACCAGGTTCTTAACCATCAAGAATTCCTTGGTTTACCAGCTTCACTGTAAATACCATGCTGGTAGAACGGCTTCATCAGCTATGTTTTGTTGGTGAATAGGCTATATGTTGCACCATTACCAGCCTTAAACCAACACTAACCAGCATACCCTTACCAAAAAGTAGTATACTTCAAGTTTATTTTATTAAGTATACTTAAGTAAAGTTCAAGTATATTTTTAAGTATACGTTATGTAGTAAGTATACACATATCAGTGTACTAGCTAATAGCACACTTGAATAAACTTCTTTTTCATAAGGGTAAACAAACCTGGCCATACTTTTCAGAAGCGAAAATAAACTAAATTGGCACTTTTAGTTCAAGGTTTTCACCTCAGTGTTTGTATTTGATGTATTTCTTTGGATTTGAATGGATTCTCTGTCAGACTGAAGTCCACCGAGAGTGACTGGAGAAAAAAGCAGGTCAGAAAACCAAAAGAAAGCAAGCGGAACATGGTATCCAGCCAACCGACTGTTGTTCACGATGGGCAGGCCCCCACTGGCCCCTACATCAAAAGGTGAGGGAAAAATAGCACTGAGAGTGACAGAATCCAGCTCTCATAGAGATCAAATGTGACTGTCTGTTGATATGATAAAGTTAGCTGGAGATTTGTGTTACACATTGCCATATGGCATAAGCTGTTAGTTTACATAACTATTATGCTTATTTAATAGATGTGGCCTTAAAGGTCTTAGCTGGAAATTCAAATGATGATTGTTTTGTTTCTGTAAGAATAACAAATGATGATCGAGAAGATGAGATGGAAGAGAATCTGAATCAGATGGGCAACCACATTAAGATTTTAAAGAACATGGCACTGGACTTTGGCGACAGGATTGACGACCATATCAAAATAATTGATGATGTCAATGATAAGGTACTCTCATTAAATGACAAGATGGAATTCACTGAGGTAAAGTGTATTTGTGACTCAAGACATTTAGATCTACAATATCTGGCAGTACACACTTAGTGTGACAACTTCTCTTTTCCACACTGACATTTTTTTAAGTTTGCATTTATTAAGTCAACAAATATACATTTAAATATAGATAGATAGATAGATAGATAGATAGATAGATAGATAGACAGACAGACAGATAGATAGATAGATAGATAGATAGATAGACTCCTCAACTGTGACAAATGTGACTCCTCAATTTATTATTAATATAATTATTTATTCATTCATTCATTCATTCCTTGTATTTTTTTATTTGCCAGACTGCAACAATTACAAGTGAAGTTGCTGCTGCGGAAAAACAAGCCAGGAAACACCAATAAGACAAATAAAGAAAGAACCACCAAAACTATATATTTTCTATACATCTTAGTGTGAACAATTAATTTGTGAATGCAGACCCCCATCCATATTGCCATTGACACTTGTACATATGACAAATAAACTGAAACTGATCCGCAGTTCCCATCCTACATTTATTTTTATTTTTGCTTTTTCTATGATCCATCTCATTCAGATGTACATCATCATATGGAATAAAAGATCTGCCGCTACTTCCATTTCATCATGACTTTAACTCTTTCTGTGCCATTGGTGCCTTTTTATTGTTATTATTATCTTGATGTTTGTAAATATCTGGACAGAACTGTGACCTTGAATAATCTGCATAAAGAGGCATTATAATTATTAAGCTTTTGGAAAGCTTGATTGAAATGTATGTCTAAATATCTTTCAGACTAAAAGTCTCCATATGGACAGGTCAGATCAGAATTTAAATTATAAATAGGGCAATGCCCCAAAAATGTCAATGAATGAAAATCTCTTTTAATTTGTGGGAACAATGACCAGCAGAGGTTGCTGTTAGACTGTTTTGAAATCTAACCACAGAAAGTGCTTCCTAAAATGGCATATTCATGTAGCATGTAGCATATTCTCTGCTTATGTAAGATACTTTTCTCAGAACTGATCATACAGTATAGGCTATAAAAGCAGAACAAAACAAATTAGATTAATTATCCACGTCCTTCTACCTGCTATCCATCATCATTTGTGTTCTCAAAGGGAGACACTGCATTAAAGGAAAGCTGTTTCTTTGCCACCGCAAGTTGATTTGCCAATGCGTTTACTATATGAATATTAAAATTTTTACAGTAGTAGACCATTTTTACAATCTTGCCAAGGGTCCTATAAACTCACATGCCAGCTTTGCTTGCAAACTTGCTTGTGTACTTTCTTCTAGTTTATGTAATAACCACTGTTTAGTATTGTATAGCGGTATTCCAATATTCTATTGTATTTAGAATATTTCCCCTAAAGTTTATACTTGATATTACATACTGACTCATCCATGAGTTATAACACCTGTTCTCATCGCCTGTGTTTTTCTCATCACATGAGTTTTTTCTAGTTAGATATGTTCTGTAGTGGTCTTCTTTGCCCTACCACATTATTTTCTGTGGCGAAGAGCAGCAGAGTTTGCTTGCGTCTTGAAAGTAGTCCTATATCAAGCAGTCCAACATTTTAGACTCCTTTTCTCCATTTTCAGAGATACCTATGATGGGCAGACTTTTCGTAAGTTACTCTAGACTGTATAATTGCATGTAGTGATATTCAGACCAACATCACAACTGTGATATTTTACGCAACAGTCTAAAAAGCATGATGTTAATATAGAAGAGCTTACATTTTAAACACAATATTGCCATTCACTTAATCTATTTTTGCTGTCAAAAACAGTTATAAATGAAGCCAAAATAGGATTAACCAACCTGCAACTGACAGTAGTGAGTTTAATATCAGAGCCCCTCCTCTAGGGGGAGCCTTGAGGATATGCAAAAAAAAAAAATAAAACAAATAAAACAAAAAAGATTGCAACTTTATGTACCACACTACTCACTCTTTCTTTTGGCCTCCACAAACAGTGATTGACTGTTGTAAACAATTGAATGATGTCAGGGCTATAATGTGATAAATCTGGAGAAAAAAAATCAAGATGTAAGATGACTTTATTTTAAGTCATGCACTCATCAACTGTCATTTTTAACGAAGATTTTTTTATTATAATTTATATAAATTATGTCTTGTTACATCAAGCACTAAAATATGTTTGCTATTTGTGAGTAAAAAAAACCCCACACATTTTAAATAAATCATTGTAACCTCAAAAGTCATGTAATTTCATTGGTAATAAAAAGCAGAAATCTTGAAGAACATTCAGTTTTTGACTTTACTTTTCTATAATTGCATTTAATTATTTCAATATATTGTTACTCCTAGTTTCTCAATCAATCAATCAATCAATCAATCAATCAATCAATCAATCAATCAATCAATCAACCAATCAACCAACCAACCAACCAACCAACCAACCAATCAATCAATCACTTGTGAGCTGCTTTGTCATTACAGCAGAAGTGCCAAAAATATCTTGGGAGGCCTTTGAATGTCATCTTCAATAATGTGGGTGCCTTGGAGTCAAAAAGCTCGCGAACCTTTGATTTAATATATTGTACATGCTATTGATTTTGTTAAAGCTTGTGTTATTTCAACCTTAAATGCTTAAGACTTTAAATGTTTGTATTCAAATTCAAGTTGACAATTACGCTTTCCAATAGTAGAGCCATTGCAGTCTTCCGCCAAAGTTTAATTCAATTCAATTCACGTTTATTTGTACACTGCTTTTTCACAATACATATAATTTCAAAGCAGCTTTACAGGAGATTCAGGGTAAGAGTAATTTGTTATCAGAGGTGACTATATTAAAGTAATGTCCATATGACAGAAATGTACAGTTCTTGGATTTTCTTTACGTAGCGGTCTTAAAGACAGTGCTCGTAAGCATCCTTCAGAATCCAAAAATAACAAATGGGATATCTGGTTTTGTCCACAAGCCTGCAAGTGTACCATTTGGAACAGGGCCAATACAAAAATCTCTGATGGTACTTATACTGAATGAATCAGCATTTTTGAACAAATCAACTTAATGAATGATTCAATGACTCACTCATCAAAACAGCCACTTCTCGCCATCTATTGCTGTAACTTGCAGAAAGAGTCACTGAAAAATCTCCACCACCAATGCACAGACCGACAGTCTGTCTGAAATGCACAAACACAAACCCTGTGCTGTTCGACTGATATGTCAGTCACTCAAGTGAACAAACTTACTGTTTTATAAAAATAGTACATAGGATCCAATACTATATTTCTAATGTTAGTATGTATTCATACTGTACTGGGCAAACTAATGCTTCTAGACTACTGAATTTAAAAATTCCAGTATCTTTGTGAAAACACAGCTCCATGTGTTCTTCCTGTCTGAATGCAGAGCTACAGTGATTTGGGAAGTTTCATGCAGTGTTTCTGCTGAACTGGCAGCAAATGTAAGAGCCGAGTGGAAAGAG